TGTACAAGTACTCCTAAGCCACAGAAACTGTACAATTAATGCATGTTGCTTAGAGCTATGAAGTTTATGGTAATAGGTTATATAGCAGTAATAACTAATACATTAACCAAGAAGCACTCTTCTAAGTGTTTAAAATATACTAATCATTTAATCCTCATACAATTCTATTTTTTCTCCCATTTACAAGTGAGGAAAGCGAGGCACAGAGCAGTTAACTAGCTTGTTCAAGGGGAACACCTGCTAAATGGGGACTATTAGAGAAGAGGAAAGGGATCACGGAGGGGGCATAAGAGAGAATTATGGAAGACAAATATGATCAAAGTATGAAAATGCTATAATAAATCCACTGTTTTATAAAATTAATACTGTTAATAATAAAAATATTCTTGACACTCTCCCCAACTATCTTGCTCAAGATCATATACCTACTAAGGGCAGATTCCATAGCCTTTCCACCCAATGTCCCATCTCTCTACCTATCATTATAGCAAAACTTCTTGAGAAAGCTGTCTACATCAGTTCTAGATAGGCTTTCCTCCCTACCGCACCACTGAGCCTGATCACAGGATTACCAAAGGTCTGCATACTGTTAAAAAAACAGTACACAGCCAATATTTAGTCCTCATCCCACACACCTATCAACAATACTGAGAAATCCTAACTGATTTTCTTACTTCCTTGGAAATGAAATTCCCAGAAATCCCAGCCAATTAAGTGTGAAAAGAGTAGGGCGGAAAAAGAAGAAGCAATGGTATATATGGTTCAAAAGCTACAAAACACTCTTGTCAACATATCACTTATAAGGTATCTGTGTTGCTTGACTGTCGCCACACTCATTACTGAAAATCAGATGGAGACGAGGTAATAGCTATAACAGATGTTTTCTCAAATTTCCCCAAATCAGAGAAAGTGACAAAAAATTATTCACTTAAGTGTTATTTGTTCAGGGATACCTATCTTCACCCAATAGACCAGGTCAAGTTTCTTCACTATTCTCACTCACAGAACAGTATTTCTTGCTTCAGTATCCTTCTCTGATTGTAATTATTTTCCTAACGATTAACATTTGATTGATGTCTGTCTCCTGCACTGGGCTATAAGTCTTAGTTTATAGAGCAAGGACTCTATAATGAGCACCTTCTTGCTCATTACTATATACTTAGAAAATAGCACAGTGATCAGCAATCACTGAAAGTTTGTTGGATGACTCAATCTCTCTATCCACTCACTCAGTTAGGCAGAGTACTAAGGGCAACCCTGCTTTTGAAGCCAAAATGCTAAAGTGGTTTGTGCAAAACTTACTTCCCTAAGCTTCTCTGGCAACTCTGTACCACTGAATAGCTAGTTCCATAACTACTAGTCGCCAAAGCCCTGTTTCTCCCAGAGTACAAACAATTTAAGGGCACTGCAGTGGACATTTTGATATAACAATCATACACTACCTTTGGGACTGAAGGCCTTAGTTCCTCTACTGTTGGGAGTGTGGACAACAGACAATCTTTAGCTATTAGTCCTCTTTAAAATTGCCCACTAAAGATAGAACCCCTTGATCACAGACATGCCCTCTTCCTGGGGCAATCCACATCAAATAATTGGTAGAAATAGGGCATAGTTCACAGCAACTCAGGACAACTCTAGAGGGCTACCTGTGGAATCATCCTTGGCTTTCACTGGAACTGCATCACATCCTCTGCTACTTACAATTTTCCTTTCATGAGTGTGAATCCCAAGAGCACTCCCTAAAAATCCTGCTTATAAATCTCTATCTCAGAATCCTCTGTCCAGGAACCTACTCTAGAACAGGAATTATTTACTCTCATGTTTTCTTTCAGTTCAATATACAGAACTGACAAGACCAAGATGTGTCCCCACCCCACATTTGAATCTCCAGAGACGGAACCCAGTAAAGATACCCAAGTGGATACAAAAGACATCCTCTAGTGCTGGTACAAGCTTTGTAGCCAAGCAGAACTAAATTTAAACCACTGTTCCATGTTCTGCAAGATATCTAATCCCATAATCCTTAATTTATTATCATCTGAGAAATATAGATGAGTACCTATATACCCCAGGGACCTCCTACTTCCCCTAACCAGATTCTACCTCCCACCTTTTACCACCTCCCAAAAATGTCATTATATTACAAATCCATCAAGAAATTAATCCATTCATTAGGTCTGTGTGCCCTCTTGATATAATTAGATCTGAAAGGCCATCACAGACAGACCCAGAGGTGATGTTTCTCAATCCAGTCAAGGTAACAATTAAGATAACCATCACATCACCCATTCCAGTATCATCTCTCCCTGACATATAGCTTTCTCTTTGGCTACCTATGTCCACGTGCTTGCTCATCTGTGAAGTAAAAACTGAAGTTGGTGGCATATGAGCTGTTGAAAAACACCTCATTCACAAGGGATAATGTTCATCTCCTCCAACAAACACTAGTCAAAATGCTTACTTGAGGAAGGCTGATTAGAATAGAAACACTATAGGCTAGAGAGCTTTTTAGTTAGAACTGGAATAGCTCTTGCCAATACCCTCACCTCTCCATTCTCTTTCCATTCTAGAAAGATATATTTACAAGTCTGTTCATTTCTTTGATACATAAAATAAGAAACACAACATGCCAAATTGATGTTGATACAATAAAACTAAAAACAAAACATTACAACTACCTTTTGTAGTTGTAACTCAGGACCTTGCCCTTGCCAGGCAGGTGCTCTACCACTTGAGCCACAGTCCGAGCCCACAGCTACCTTTTGAAGTCACGAACAAATCATTGTCTTGAGCTCAAGTCTTTCTAGGAGTTGAGCTGTCACCAAATTCTAACAACTTTTACTGAAAAAGTTTCGCTAATTCTTCAGGCTTCATTAGCACATACCTATGATTCTGTGAAAATTTTTAAATTCTGATTCTGCTTACCCTTCTCTCTAAATTGTATTGCACAATGTCAAACTTTTTTTTTCTAAAACAATCTTTTGCATCATTGCCCTACTCAAAACCTTCCTACAGACTACAATTTTAGGGCCTTTCCATTTTACCATATGACAATCTGAGTGTGTAGTCCTCCCTCACCTTTATTTATACAACCCTCTGCTCTAGGATCTCCTTTTGCTTTTCAGGACACACAATATTAACATGCATTTTCAGCCTAACATTTCTGTTCCACTCCCCATGGTATGTTACTGTCCACTCATCCGAATCCTGTTTTGCCAAACATTTATTGAGCATTTACTGTGCTCCAAACCAAAATGCATCATCAAGACCCACCATTTTTTCAAGTCTTTTCTTTGGTGTTTAGTGGAGCTCTCCTAATGACTCTCTTCCATTGAACAAGCAGTTAGAGACAGAAATGCCCATTCACTCCATCTTTTTAAGTCATAGCTGTGAAATAAGGCAAACAAATGCCACACACATGAAGAGAGAGATCTATTGATCACATATTGGTTGGATAATTACCATGTACCAAACACTATTTTGAGTATGATAAACAATGGTCCTGTTCTCACAGAATGTGATTTTTTGTGAGGGTTGTGGGTGTATTTATTGCTGGGAAGAAGGGAACCAACACTGAACTTGTGAACACAGACACACCTCACACTGTGGCCAGTGCTTTGAAAGATATACCACAGGTTTGATCATAAGAGAGCTGTTTTAGAGAAGTGGACAGAAAGGACTTCTTAGATTTGGTTGATGGAAACCAAACATGTTGATAAAACATGAATAACCAAGGGTTCCTGGCTGGGGGTGTGGCTCAAGTGGTAGAGGGCCTGCCTAGCAAGTGGAAGGCCCTCAGTTTCAAGCTCCAGTGCCGCCAAAAATAATAACAATTATTATTAATAAAAAATAAAGCATTCTTATATTTTATTTAAGGTTCAACAACTTTCACGATCACATTTAAATATGCCTAAGTTTTATGAAACTCCTTTAAGAAATAACAATCCCTAATACGAAAAAGCAAAGCACAAATAGTGCCTTCTGCCAGAGCCAGTGGCTCACGTCTGTGAACCTAGCTACTCAGGAGGCATAGATGAGGAGGATCAAGATTCGAAGACAGCCCGGGTAAATAGTGCAGAGAGACCCTATTTGGAAAAAACCATCACAAAAAAGGGCTGGTGGAGTGACTCAAGGTATAGGTCCTGAGATCAAACACCAGTACCAAAAAAAAAAGAAAAAGCGCCTACAAAGGGATAACCAAGATTGCCGTCTTGACATATTTCTGATAGTTTCACGAGACCCAGTTGTGCTCTAACAGAACTCTCCAGCTCAATGCTCTCTCCTCCAGTGAATTCAGAGCTCTGTTATTCTGGGCGCTCCATGAAGGACCATCAACCTAGAGAACACTTCAACAGTACTTGGGGACCAGTTCCACTTTCTGGAAGAGAAATGTGTATGGAAACCAGATAGTCAACTAACTTCTACAGATTCTTTTTGGTGGGACTGGGGTTTGAACGCAGGGCTTCACTCTTGCAAAGCAAGTGCTCTACCACTTGAGCCACTCCTCCAGTCCATTCTGCTCTGGTTATTTTGGAGATGGGGGGGGGTCTCTAGAATTATTTGCCCCGGCTGGCCTCTAACAGTGGTCCTCCCAATCTCAGCCTCTCAAGTAGCTAAGATTACAGACATAAGTCACCAGCGCCCGTCCCTTCTATAATTTCTTGACTAAAATTCGTTTCGCCAAGAAAAAAACCCAAGGAATATCTAGGTCTGGGGTAAAATGTACTGCTGAAGACGGGGACAGCAGAACTGGGCCCCAGGAAGGAAAGGAGACCTCTAGGCCAGACGGATTCAGAAAAGCAAATGGCTGGAAGGCACATTTCATCCCTAAACTAACTTTCTTATCTCTAAGCTGTCAAAGCGCTGCCTCCCGTCTCTTAAGGCGTGGGAAGCTCTAAGGCAATGGTCGTGCAGAACTTTCAAGACCCACGGGGCGTACTGTCAAGTTACTTCAAGGGCTTCTTGGAGGGAGCGCCGAGGGAGGCTCGCGAACGTGTTACCTTGACCAGCCACACTCCAGTGTTCTGCTTGGCGCCGGTCAGATCGAGTTCCCCGCGCTCGGCCATCGGTCTATCGCCGGTGGGGGCGTGCGGGTCGGAACAGTGGCCCCGGGAGCTGAAGGGCTGAGGAGCGAGCGGCCGGAGCAAAGCGCGCGCCGCAGCGGACTGTGAGGAGCCGGCGTCGCTCACCTAGCAGGACACCAGGAACCCGGGCAAAGAGGAACACGCCGCTGGGAGCCGGGAACTGCGCCTGCGCGCCGTGACGTCATACGGCGCGCTGTGGCGGACAAACTTCCTGCGTTTGCAAATTCTTGGGTGGGTGTGGCTATTAGTGGTGGATGGTTAAGTGATTGAAATGAAGGGTGGGATAAGTCAAATAGCGGACGTGCATTTATTTATTTATCTATTTATTTATTTTTATATTTTTCTTTCTCCTTCGCGGACATGCATTTAAAGACAATGTCTGCATAAATGAAGAAAAAGTCTCAAAACGGAAAAATGGGCTTCAAAGGGACAAAAAGCTGTCAGTACATGCCTAACTCTAGCCAAGAGCCGGACACTTGAAGGATATGGTCCGGGTAATGAATTGGCGCTCTTAGCATAAGTACGAGGGGGCACTGGGGGAGGATTGAGTAAATCTGGATATAGTAAAAACATGCCATTTCTAGACCTGAAAAGAAAGCTCTTCCGATTAAGCAAACGAAGCACATTCCTTCCAAACTTCAAAACCCGGACACCATATAATTGGGTCAGTAATGATACAGCATATAAGAGACAAACCTGATTGCTTCTCTCCTGTTCAACTAGTTTCCTCTTTCTCCTCTTGCCTGTAGAATAAAATTCAATCCTTTACTTCAGCTGTGCCCTCTCAATTGGATCCCTTTCACTCACTGTGCCACACAGTCACACCAAACTCATCCACCTCCCTGAGCACACAAGTTCAAAGCCTCTGCACACTGCTTCCCTTTCTTTAGATGCCCTATTTTTCCCTTTCCCTCATTCTCACCCTTGTGCTTTGGTTGGTAAACTTCTGCTTATGTTTCAACACTAATGGAAAAGTCACTTCCTGTGAGACCTTTCATCAACATCCTCTGGAGGAAGTTCTAATTCTTCATAGCACAGTGTGTGATACTTAGCAGACTGCAGTATAATATACATGTCGTGCCTACCTTTGTTTTCTAGACTATGAGCTCCTCCTAGGCAGAAATATTGATTTTACCCCAGTTTTACTGAGGCATAACTAATGAATAAGAAATAGTGCTTTATTCATTTTATATGCACAAAATATTTTGATACTTTGTTGGATTTATGTAGGCTTTGGTTGAATGAACATTTGTTGAAGAGAAACAAACACTAAGATATTGCAAGAATGGCAAGCAATTTATTGAGTCACACGTAAGAGTCTTGTAAAAAAGTGAAGAAGGCCTGTCTGTGTAACATAAAGCCAGGAAAAACTGTCAGTTCTCTGAGGTCAGCTGGCAAAACTACTAAGAAAGATGGGAGAACCCAGGCGTGTACTGAAAAGGAAGATTGTGTTCTCATATAAAAGCTTGAAAAGGGCCTACCAGTTATAAAGGGCAAGCATATGAAGAGAACAGCTTTAAGCTTTGACCAAATAGGAAGAATAATTTCAAATATGACACCAGTAAAGAAGGAAAGTAAAGTAGCCTGGAGAACCTTAAGAATAGATTTTAACATAAAGAATGAGGAACATGGCCTTCATCTACGGGTAATGGGAGGCCTTAAAATGTGTGTGTGTGTGTGTGTGTGTGTGTGTGTGTGTCTTTATAGAGATTAGGAAAGACTAAAGAAAAGGCTAAAGAAAAAAGTGAAGATTTGAAAATAATTATATAGGAAAAAAGGAAAGAAGACAATTTATTCAGCACCTCTTCCTCGTATACGTTGAACAAAGAACTGTCCTCCCCATCTGTCCTTTCCAACCCTCTTCTAGCTTGAGAAGTGATATTTACATAAATGTGATAGAAAAAGAGAACTTGACCCCCTGAACCAGATTCACGGATTTGCCCTGGAGACCCACAAGGTGGTAAGTACTGCAGCCAGATCCTTCCACTTGCTATCACCTACCTTATACCAGATCCTTGCTAGGTGTTCTATGCACATCATCCCAATTAATACTGTTAGCAGTTTCTTAGAGTAAGTGTTAGGATTCCTGAATATAGCCCCATAATCATTAAAGTATCAACTTGCAGGAGCTGAGACATGTTCCAGTTTTGTGCCCAGCACACCATTGGATGCAGAGATCGGGAGCCAAAAAAGATAACTCCAAAATTCCTTACTCCCCTAGACAATTGACTAGTCAAGTTCTCATCGGCTCTTAAGGCACAAATGCAATCACAGGAGGGTGGGATAAAAACTCACTCCTGGCTGCAATTTTTTTAAGAAATCTCATAGTATTTAGGCCAACCTGTGATCACACCTTTATGGAGAGCTTAGATTCTGCTTCAGACCTCAAGGCAGCCCTTCCTGCTTAACAGGCATATATATATCTATGTTCTCCTTTTGGGTCTTTCTAGAGTAGCTGTGGCAGGAACAAATGACACCTGCCACAATCACTACCAACATGCTTCACTCTAGATAAGGGTTCTAAGTGTCTGGGGCCTGGATAAGCTGCAGCAGCATTTCCCAAGGAATGTGCTGAAAATGCAAGCACCTGAGCAATAGTCTAGGTGAACAAAAATCAGAACTTCCAGAGTCTGGAAACTGACACCTTGCAAGCTCCTCAAGTATTTCTTAAGCATGCTAAAATCTGAGACTCATTCTTCTAATCCCACATCAATAGAACTCATTAGAACTGGGTTAGGGTCCAAGGTCTGAGGCATGAGAGAGAGTTTACCAGAAAATTTTCTTGGTATCATTTGACTTACAACTAAAATTCCTCCATGTCTTGTAAATTCACAATACTACAATTCTATTAGGTAACTATTACAGTATAAGTAGTAATGCTGTTAAAGGAGAAATACAAGTGAGTTGAGGGAATTAAACTGCCATTGACAGGTAACTGAGTCCATTCTCAGATTGTGCCCTGGATTGTCACCCATAGTCCTGATGTCTCTCCAGTCTAGAGATTTTCCTTGTTCACACTCAGAAACATTCTAGCAAAAGCAACTATTACCTTCAAGGAAGTTCATATAATCTCCCCCACCAAAAAAGAGCTCACTACCAAGTCTTTTTTTTAAAAAAAAGTTCTTCCTTATTATGTCAGTCTTATTATTTATTGGTTACTATAAATGTTTGTCACTATACTAGTCAGAAATTAGAAAGGAATGTGAAAAAGTGATAATTCTATTTCCCCAATGTTATAATGTCATAGGTAGATAATCAATTCTATTCCCCAATATTAGTGATGTCATAGGTAGATAATAGTATAACTATATAGAGTATCTAGTCTATCCCAAGATCATAAAGCCCCTTGTTATGATTTGGATGTGAAGACTCACCCCTAAAGGCTTGTATATTGAAGGCTTAGTCCCCAGTAAAAGCAATGTTCAGAGGTGGGGCTTTGGGAAAGTGATTGGATCATGATGGCTCTGCCTTCATAAATGGATTAACCCATTAATGGATTCAAAATCTGAATAGACTGTTAGGTGGTGATGGAACTGTGGAAAGTGGGACTTAGTTGGGGGTGGAGGATCAATGGAGACATGTCCTGGAAAGATATACTTTGTCCCTAGCTCATTCTTGTCACTCTTTGCTTCCTGCCATGAGGTGAACAGCTTCTTCCTTCATGCATGTCCACTGACATGATGATCTGCCATGCCTCAGGCCCAAAGCAATGGACCCAGACTGAAAGCTCTAAAACCAGGAGCCAAAATAAATCCTTCTTCTGTGTAAGTTCTTTCTCTTGGGTATTTGTCACAGTGATGAAAAAAGCTGAGTAACACACCTCTTCTCTGCATTCTCCCTGCCTTTTCCTGCAACTCTAACAGTTCTCTCTTTCACCAAATGCCCACCTTCCTGGAAAATTTCTTGTTTCTCCAGTTATACATAAACAAAAAAGAAATAGTCCCTAAAATTTTTCATATTATTTGGTGAAGAAAGCATGAGCTTTAGAATCAAGCATATCTTCAAGCCATAGCTCTGTTGTGTAGCAGCCTAATTTCATTAACTTCTCTATACCTCTTTTCATGCTAATAAAGTGAGATCATTATATCCATCTCATAGAATTATTACATGACTATATGAGAAAGCATATTCTAAAGATTTTACAGTATTACTGGAAAGCTATTTGGTAACTAGAGTAACTATATTGGGTCAAATAATTGAAAGAAAGCATAGACGTTTTAGTATAAGCAATGGTATGCTGGAAAATGTTTCACATCTGGGAGAGGGGCTTTCCTAACACTCCTCCCCCCCAAAAAAAAGCCCCAATGTATAGTGTTTGCCAATTTCTATAGTGTATGTAAGGCAAATGTAGGCCCCAAAACTGACCATGTGGAGAGGAGTGATCTGCCCAAGAGATTCTTTATTGCCAGGTGGGAGAGGGAGAGAGCCGAGAGAGAGAGAGAGAGAGAGAGAGAGAGAGAGAGAGAGAGAGAGACAGGGGCTTAATTACCCCTCAGTGAGACTCGGCAGGTATGATCTGATTGATTAGGATCTTATGGTTCATGCTGATTGGAGGTTGGGGCAGAAGGAGGATTCAAGCTAGACTTGAGGCAGGACCGTGACCCTGGGAAACAGAAGCTTAAGGGTGCAGTAAGAACTGAAACCTATCGGCGCCATTATTGCCAGCATTCCTCCCTTTTTTGTTTGTTAAGGAAGGGGGGTGTTGTGTTCACTCTGGCTTCTTCGAGCTGGCAAGGGGCGGCGTAGGGGAAGGGAGGGTTAGTTGGCAAACAATGTTGGGGTGGTGAGTCTCATGATGGTGTACACCCAGGCTCCAAAAATGAAAATTTCCTCTTCCCTGAAGTTGATGAAGGTCCCTTGTAGCCATAGGTCATAAAGAGTCTTGAGCCAATCCTCTGACCTCCGCATGGTGGGTATCGGGAGTCGAGGAATTGTAGCAGGCGTCCTTGATGTAGCAGGGGTCTTGATGTTTATAACCCAGTGTCCTGGTAGGGTCCATTATAGGTGTCCTCTGGTTGTGCTATCAGGGGTCAGTATCCTTGGAGGAGAAGCTGGTTAAACTTTTGATTAGCAATAGCAGACATGCGGTATGATACAAGGGAGGAAGCTTAAGAATAAGAGAGCAAGAAACAT